ACCTCTCTGATCCACACATTCAGTCCCAGGTCCTCCAGAAGGTAAACCACTTCTGCCTCAGCTGGGACTTCTCAGCAGAAACTAGAGCTCTGAAGGCTGCTTCCTCAATTCCTTTTCAGATGGAGGCTCTGCTCAGAGCCCGGGGATTGACCGACGTCAAACTGCAGTGGAGGATGAAACCCAAAAAGAAGGACTGACTGGAAGACTTTGGGTTAATTTATTTTTTCTCTTTAACACAACATAGAATTGTAGATTGAAATCATATCAAACTCATAAAAGAAGTGGTCCATAGTTACACTATGAAGCTTATAGTTACACTAAAAAGTAACAACTTCCTCAAAGTTACAAGTGTGTATTAACTTTTTTAAATGTGATCTGCATGTATATTTAAATATATAGTTAAATTACATGGAAATTTAGATTAAACAATCCTAAATTTCAGCCCCCCAGGCTTTGTTCATCATGTTTAGATCCAGGTTTTGCTTCACTTCCCTTTTATGTTCTTGTTTCTATCAGGTCAGTTGGTGATTTTGCATATTTGGAAAAAAAACGTTTGTGTCTGTGTTGGCTTTTCTTCAAATTTGATCCAACATCCAAGCGAAGAATACAATTACCTCAATGAAGGAATGAAACCCTCATGCATGCATAAGATTTAGAAGTATACAATGTAAAGTCATTTTTATAATTCCAAGTAATCTATGCCACAATTACAAATGATAGAAAGAAATCTGCGGTATGTCCAATAATTATTGTTTTTTGCTTCATAACATCTTTAACTAAACAGTAACTTGTTAAGAAATTAATTTTTTGCCGCTCAAACCTACTTATGTGTGATATCTATTTAAGGGAGAAAAGGCCATTTGTCATGTACTTTTTCGTTTGATGAATATTTTACCTGCTGCTTTAGATTGTTTTTATTTGTTTTGTCTTTTTACTTGTAGTGAGATTGAAAATAAATCTTTTGATTGATTTGCCTCTTAAAAATCCCATTGATTTATTGAAGTTTTTTCATCAGCTGTAACCAAAAAAACACTCATATTTTCAACATCTCCTTTATTCTCGTCTCTAAAGCCGCATCCCGCCGGGGGCCTCTCTTTATGCATTTTGCATGCACCGTCCAGAAACATGCAAATTAGGCTGACTGTACACTCCACATGTGCACCTATGTGGTGGAGTTAGCTGTCATTGGTCCCCAAACAGGCTCAAAAAACGCCCACAAGGGTTTGATGTGACTGTTTCCTTTTTCGGCCACTTGAAGTTACTCAGATTTAATCCCATTTCCTTTAACATGGTGCAGAAACGTTCCAGTGGTTTGGAAGTTCATGTTTCATGTTCATGATAAAAATGTTTCTAGGCCTTAGTTTTAAACTGTTCATTGTAGCACTCCTTTTTGAAGCTAAAGGCTCCGGACAGGTTGGGGCTGTCTCACCTGACACGCCTTTTTAATATGCTGTGGAGGTCTGGGACCACACCTGGGGGGCGGGTCCAGTAAGGAAAACAAGTGAAGGTTCAGCTAAAGAGTAGAGCAATTTATCTTCACAGACCAGTGTTTGATGCACGGCCCTGAGCTTTCCTCCTGGTAAATTTAAGGCAAATTCGGACGCAAATGATTGTGATTTGTTTCCATCCTCATGTGAACGACAAAGCCTTTTTGAATGAGGAACTCACATTGTGTGTTTTACCATACAAGTTGATTTGAGATTTATTCAAATTAAACTCCTGATTGTAAAATACGTAAACACGATTGCACATGTAAACATATTAATTTGCCTTTGATATTACTTATGAAAATGTTTTTCAGACCTCCCCATTTCTTAGAGGAGCTACAAATGACATTTTCCTTCCCAGCTATCCCAGATCGGATTGTGCTCCAGCAGCTGTTCACAGACCTGTGAGTATGTTTTCGTGTGTCCATCATTTTGAGGAGTTAGGCTGAGCATCACTGCAGCGTTTGAAGTTAAACTGAAGGAAGGCAGGAAAAGGAAAGCCTCTCTAGATCAGACTGTGCTGAACTCTACAGGAAAAAATGACTTGCAGACATTAATCTGACTTTTTGTTTCAGCTCTGATTGAAGGGAAATATATTTTTCCTCCTCTCCTCGCTTTTGGTCCTCAGCTGTCAGCTCTCAGTAATCGTTGTCCTCTGAATCCTCTCCTCTGGTTTCTCTCAGCCTTTTGCTTCAAACAGCAGAGAACAGAAACATGTTGGTGGAGAAATCAGAGCAGAATTTCACAGTGTGACCCAAAACAGACCCGAATGAGAAAAAAATCTAATTTATCTATCATTTAAAAAAAAAAAGAAACTCAACGAATTAGGAAATCCAAAATCCAACCTTTGAAAAACTAAATAAAAATAAAAAAACTAGTAAAAAATGACCCGCCCATACAATGTTAACAATGAACAAGAAAACTGTAATAAGGTTATTGTTTACAATAAATGTGTACTGAGAAAACTTTAAAACTGAAAAAATTCTGAAAGCATATTTCAAGAGAACGTCAAATAAATTCTGAAATAAAAGTACTAATAAAGTGTTTTAATATTTCCCTTTTATTCCAGTTAAACATAATATGGATCAGCTCGTGACTGTTATGACCGTCTTCTTCTCTGGTAAGAGAGCTCATCTATGGATTCTATCTATCTATCTATCTATCTATCTATCTATCTATCTATCTATCTATCT